CATTTTTTTCTTTGTTAGGCAAATTTTTATTACTGTAAACATAACTTCTGACAAGCAGCGTCCATTTAGATTTAACGCAGAAGTGTTTACAAAAAATAACTATTTTATTTTGTAGATTTTTCTTGCAGTGCAGTGGCGAAATGCCCATAAAGGATTTTTTTGGATAGATGAATCCGCCACGTAGGTATAGACATTTTTTAGTAAGTTATAGTCCCGAAGCAGGCCTTCTTGACATAAAATTTGCTTCGTGTAATATTCTTCTGACAGCCTTATAGTCTTACACTTAAATGACTTAAATGTACGTTCCTTAGGTGCAATTCATTATAAATGGTTTCTTAGCGATACATTTATAATAAATCTATCATCTCGATTCGAAGTTCTCATATTAAGGTTCTTAGACGTCTAAGCATATGAACTAGAGGTTTCTAATTCTAGAATTCTAATTCCTTGACAGGAACTAGAACTTCCTTAGTTCTAGTTCCTCTAGAGGAATAGTTTCTTCAGCTAGCTCTTTAGTTCACAATAGTTCCAATTAACATCCCCGTTGCTTTCTAATGGGTTTCGTTGTCAGTCAGAACTATTCACAGTATGATTGTATAATTTTTATAGTGTACGAAATACACTGAAAAAAATATTGTTCATAATATTAATGAACAGTGATTATTAACTGTTGTTTCATTGGGACAATGATTTTTTTCATTAATATAATGATTTGTTAATCATAGATGGATGTCCGATTTATTAATACTATGAATCTAATTTCATCAATATAATGAAAATCTGGTTATTAAATTAATGTAAGATTTTCATTAATATAATGAATGCGTTCATTGTCCCAATGAACGCGTTCTTTATTTTAGTGCTGAAACTTTAATAAACACATATTCATTATATTAATGTACTAAATCATTGATTAATAAGTTGTACATTGTGACAATGAACAATTTTATTAATTCAACGAACACACTACATTATATTAATGTACGCGGTTATTAATATCATGAATAAAATATTAAGGCTTAAATGTCCGCCATGTTGATCGGTTACTTTGGCACTTTAATAACGTATGTGTGGTTAAGTCATTCAGTAAGGCAGTTTCATTAGAGCGGTAAATGTTCTCTTCAATATTTTAAATATTTTAAATAAAAGTCCTATCGTATTGTAGTTAAGTTAATGTGTTGTGTTGTCAAATCAAATTCCGCTGTGTGAGATCTCTGGTGTGGGTATTCATTAAAACAGCGGTTTCCAAATATGTTTCAGAAGATAAAAAACAAAAAGAAGAAAAACATAGTAACAAGTCGAGGCATGGAACCGATTATGGTAAATTCGAATGTTCTTTTAATATTTGGCATTTTAATTATTTTGATATACGTCTTTTAGAACCGGAAGAAGATGTCAGGTCTCAAGCCTTCAAACCCTCAAATTCGACAATTTCACATCGGACCCACTTGATACGACTTGGAAAGCCGGTTGCAAATTCGTCTAGACGTTATCAAGTCTAAGGATACAGCTAATATAATGAAGAAATGGTCTTTTTATAGAAATCCCTCAGGATATCGACTGGTAAATTAATTTTTTATTATAATTTACCCTAAAATTAATAATAACATTACTATTCTCTTCGTCGATTCGATTTTTTTGAATTTTAATTTGTATATGCTATATCGAGTTTAATAAATTATTATTAGTTTATTGCACTTGTTTTTTATTAATAATCCCTAATGGAAAAATTTACTGTGCTCGTAAGTAAGTCAGCACTATTAGTAATTTTGTTACCTTTGTAGCTAAGGGCTTGTTCAAATGGAAATATATTTAGAGTAGAATTATTTCAGGTAGTTGGCTGGGAAATTACTATCAATGACAGCAATCTTCATCATCGATTATACGGTGTAACAAGAGTTACTAATAATGTCGACTTTTAAATGTATAACTAAATAGGTTATGAAATTATTTCATTGTATTAATGATACGGTTCATTAATATATGGATTTAGGTACATTATATTAATGAAATCTGTTCATTGTAGCAATGAATGTGTTCTTCAAATTAATGAACACTGTTCATTGATTTAATGAACTTAAAGTTCATAGAGTTAATGAATTACTTTTTATTGTGCCAATTAAATCGTTCATCGGCTCAAAATTAATGATTTAATTAATTATATTAATGAAATTTTTCATTATATTTATGTCGACTTTTGGTTCAGTGTATAACGAAAAGTGTAATTGCGTATGTTAAAAACATATAGATAAGTTTTATTGAAGATAAAAAAATAATAAGGAAACTCAAATCAGAGTTTCTGTTTAAAAAAGTATATCACAAATCAATTGGAGCAAATAATACGAAAATTTTACGAAAAATTGCATTTTTCCTCACTTCAAGCGTCTTGTTTTTGTCTAAAAATTCAGAATATCTACTTCGTTTTATAAGATATTTCTTAATTTTAGAAACATAAAGTGAAATATTCCCATCAAATATTTAAAGAACAAACAAAAATCAAAAACAGTATCTACGACAATTTTCTGGGTATCTACGACAATTACACCGGCTAAGGCTGTGACAATAGACAATGCCAAATCCATCGTCGTCGCTTTCTATTATATCTCGGATCTGCCCATTGAATAGATTCTCGTGAACTAGTCTTCTAATTAGTTATTCAAGTTTCTCTCAGTCCTTACAATCCGGGATCGTACAATCCGTACGTAAACTATTCTTTTACTTAGTTCCTCTAGTTCCTCTAGGTCCGGATCCGATAACATAGAGCTGGTACTCCCCACTCCCGCCTAGCATCGGTGTAGGATCGCGCTGGCCGATCCGTACGTAAACTTGTCTTTTATTTAGTTCCTCTAGGTCCGGATCCGATAACATACGACTGGCACTCCCCATTCCCGCCCAGCATCGGGTTACGATCGTTCTGGCCGATCCATCGCCGTTGGATATTATTATATATTGGTCACAGTCTCGATCCCAGAATAGGTCCTGAGGAACTAGTTCTTTGAGAAACCGGTTTCTTTCATACCGTGGTCGGAATAGTTCATTGGAACTAGTTCGTTCACGTACTATACACCTCTCATAACTTTGATCTCTACCATATTAAAGCATAGCTATAGCGGATACTACTTCTGGACTTAATGCTATCTCTGCTAGAGTAACTGCCCGACAGCCAACAGACAATAATAATATGATTTTTCAATATAGCAGTGACATTTCATAAATCATAAACACTATTTCATAAAGTCTGTTGATTGTGATCAACAGCAAAGGCATGGTTTTAATGTAAAAATCCCGAAAAAATGTTGTCTTCTTCAAAAGCAAATATCTAAAAAAAATAAAGCTATTGAGATGAACCAAAGAATGTATGATAAAATGTATTTCAAATTCCTTGCTTTTTTAACATATTCCACAGGGTGTTTCAAACCTTCACCAAAATAACAACATTTTGTGATCCTTCGTATAATAGAGAAATGGAAACTTTCATTTTTAACATAGAAAGAGATACTAAAAAGTCGAATAATTAGCCAGAAATTGCTTAAAAAATCATCAAAATCGGTCCACTAGAACACAATATACAGGGTGTCCCAGAAATAAATGCAAGTATTTTAACTGGTAGTATAGTTCAACCCCAGAAACACGCCTAATTGGAAATTTTCAAAGTAAAATAACTCCGTTACTTTGGACTTATTTGAAAAATGATAAAGAGAAAATATGATTTTTTTTATCGAGATCTACCACCCGTTAAAATACTTGTACTTATTTCTGGGACACCCCGTATAAAACTTTAAAATACACCAAAATTTTAAGGTTATCAAACGTTTCTCGTGCCGGTAAGTGTATTTTAAGACCATGCAAAGTAAGTAAACTAATAAAATTATATTTCTAATTAAATGAAATAAGCTAATTCCATTAATACACGAGAGATTAGCTTTGATTCCATATAAATAATCGTATAAAAATCAAACAATTTAATAACACATTTTTAAGCTATCGAGAGATTACTATTTCTAATTATTGTCTAGTAAAGTATGTTACTCAGATCCTTAAAATTTTTGTTACCAATATAATATAATATATATTTAAAACTTGTTACCAATCCATTCTTCAATCTAAAAAATACATCTTATAAAATTCCCTATAATAGATATATCTTTACAGTTACCTGAAAGTATGTCCTGAGTAAATGAGGTATTGCAGAGTTCTCAATTGGAGGCAAATTAGCTAAATTAAAAGTAGTCTTAAGGGCTTCACTTGACGTAATCCTATCGTATAGAGTGTATCTCAGATGGTTAATATATTTAATATAGCTTGGGCAGTGATATAGCTTTAAAAGTTCAATAATCTTGACTGAGACAAGTCATCTTTGTTAGCATTTTTTTCTAAAAATACGTCGAGGTATTGACAAAGATCTTCATCTTTTTTCACTACCGACAGGCACATTTTTTTTGTTTCAGTCAGGATTAAATTATCTTTTAAAGCTATCACAGCCCAAGCTATATTTAACATATGTGAACCATCTGAGAATCTCTTAAGATCACCTTTAATTTAGCTAATTTGCCTCCAACTGAGAAATCTGCAAAACTCCATTTACTCAGGACATAATTATTTCAGGTAGCTGTAAAGATATATCTATTATAGGAAATCTTATAAGTTGTATTTTTTAGATTCAAGAATGGATTGGTAACAAGTTAGATCCTTGGTCGTTGGAAGAAAGATCAAAAAGGCAATCTGACACCTATTCAATCAACAGAAGATGTGGCGCCTCCTGACCTACTAAAATTATTTTATTGCAATTGCAAAGAGAGTCAGTGTTCTAAAAATTTCTCTTGTAGAAAACTGGGTTTTGCATGTTCTTCAAAGTGTGGTCAGTGCTACGGAAATCAGTTGCACAAACTTTTGTATTTTAGTTGAGGCTAAAATGACGCTCTTAATAACTTTAATTTAATAATAATTTTTTTAGCTGACCATACCAATAGGTATGGTAGGCTATTAAGATGCGCAAAAAAAGTTTTTTTAATTTCACTCAAAATGAGTTGTTTGGGTCATAAATGACCTAAATACAAAATATATTTAAGAATATAAGTACATTACTTACGCTTAGTGTTCCCGAAATGTATTTGTGTAATTTAAAACCGGTCGAATCAGGCAAAAGCCTAACCTTTAGAAAATACAGTTTGACATTGACAAAATTATAGGATGACAACTTAAGGTAGGTTGGCATCACGTTGGCATTTGCCTGGTTTTGACGAATTCATATGAATGTCATTCAAGACAAGAACGAATTCGTATAAATCATTCAAAATGAACAATAAAAAGTTTCAAATACATTTTTCTGTGGGGAAAACTTATTCATCATTTTTAAAATTTACATGGGATTTCCTGTGTCCAGGTCGGCAACATATAATATAAGCAAGTATAATTCAAGAATATCTAAAATTTACATACTTATTTCTCTCACAAGGCATACACAAACGACCAGTAAAACAAATTGAATATTAAAAACGCTGCTGGAAAAGCTATTCTGGATTTTTTGTCGATCCAGTTCGCCACCTCGTGAGGGGACATAGTAGTCCAAGTAACGTTTTTCCCGTTAGTTGACTTGTCTGGAACGGGGATACTAGTGACGTTGTTGTCTTCTATGTTAATCAGTTCGTCCTGGCTGTTGGGTGGAGTTTGAATAATAGGAATGGACGGCATATCAGTTGGAAATGTCTGGAATAAACAATGTGGCTCAGTATAAAAAAGCTTAATATACATTTGGTTAGGTTAGGTTAGGTTAGAAACGTTAGGTAAAGAATGGAGGAGAAATATCTTCGTGCATTAAAAATGGTCATAAAAATGGGAAGACTTAAGATGGCGCTGCTGTAGCAAAAACCTAAAATTTAAAATATGCGCCGAAAGAAGGTGCAGGTTGTAGTATACAGAGAAGACCAGGCTACTAGCGAACATAGCAAGTTGCCGGACGAATTTACGCTTACCCGATTTGCGTTTGTACACGAGATTCACTGCCGGCTAGTCGGCTGGTCAGGCCTTAGGGTCAGGCAGTACGCAGTTGCAGTTGTGCTTGGACGGGTCGGTCGTGACAGACTAGGAATACGACGCGAGGAGTGCCGAGTATTTATTATTTTCATTTTAAGTGTTTACCTTCACTTAAGGTAACATTTAAAACAAAAATACTTAAATATTTATTATTTGAGTGTATTTACAAGCCAAAACTAAAAATAAATAAATTCTCAAAACCCCCCCAAAAAAAAATATTACTATAAATAAAAAGAAATTATAACAAGTGTTCAAAAAGACCTTCTTGTGCTAGATAGAAGCCTAGGCGGTCGTAAAATCCCCGTTTGACATTGGCTAACATATTAGGGCTAATAGTTTGGAAAGCCTCTCGTATTTTTACTTGAAGCTCATCCAGATTATTAGCGCTATATGACCATACACTTTGATTTTACATAACCCCACAAAATAAATCATTGGAAGAAATATCTGGTGATCTAGCGGGCCACAAAATAGTTCCATGTCCACTAATTAAACAGTTGGGAACAGTATTGTTCGAATATTCTTGAACAATACGGGCATTGTGGGGCAGGGCAATCACCTCAGGAATTTGATTACTTGAAAACGTGGGATTTTGATCCGCGGTAGCACAAATAACACTTGCTTTAACTTCTGTTCTTCATTAATCAACACGTCAGGCTTTTTTGTGTTTTTGTGGAGACGCGCACCCATGTGTTCAAAATTATTAATAACTCTTGATATAGTAGGTAAAGATGGAATTGGCCTGTTTACAAAAGTTTGTGGAAAAATTGTTTGTATATCCCGATAAGACCTATTTTGGAAATACCATTTTACAGTTTGAATTTTCTCACGAACTTCGTAAACATCCATTATTTTACTTAAAAATAAATTTTACACGAAAACTGTCGCGAGAATCTATGTATTCGTTTTGGCTATTAAAACACGAATAAATACAAATTATGAAACATTCTTATCACATATCTACCTATTTTTATTTTATCGTATTTTTTTCGCCTGCTTCGCATTAATTCGTCCGGTTCTGCCTATGTTACTACTACGGTGGTCCGGTCTGTATGTATACTTACATGTACAGTGAGATAGTTATTCTGGCTGATCTGATTCACATTGTGATCTTTTTCATCGAGACTGGAACAGGAACGGGTTTTGTACAGGCTGTTGTACGATTCGGATCTTCTCAGTTGCTTTCTGTTCAAACTAGGCGTTACAGCGCCCCTTAATATGTACTTACTGCTTGCTTTTTTCAATTCAACTTGTTTTCTAAAATAAAAAAAAAAAAAACAATTTAAATTAAAATAGAAAAAAATACCTAATAAATTTTAAAAACGTAATGATAAAATAATGTATTTTAATAAACGTAATAATAAATAAATGGTAATACAAACGAAGTAAAAGAAAGTTAACTCACCTTCTCCTCCAGATGACGTTGACAAAAGCGAACTCCGCCATCGAGCAAAATATAAATGTGGAACAGCCTAAGAACCATATCTCGCTGGCTTTGATGTAACTCACTTTTGGCAGGTTCTTGGTTAGGCCACCGTTAAGTGTTATAAACGACAGCATGGTAGATGTTCCTGAAATATACCCTACATTTAAGATACTTCTATGCTACATTGTATTGGATATATAGTGTCCATAAAAAAGTGAGTTATCAAAAACTAAATGTTTTTTTTTATTATTATTATGGTGTGTTTAGACTTGAGCACGCACGCACTGATCCTCCGCGAATGCTCAAGTGTAAACGGCTGTGCGCGCACGCTCACTCTGAATCTGTCTGTGCGCGAGCAGCCGCGAACGTGAGCCGTCTGGTGTCGGTTTTTGGTCCGTGCTCAAAGAAATTTTATGTGTGCGCAAACGCTCAGTTTACACCGGCAATTTGTTTTGTCTGCGTTCGTGGGTGCGTGTGTGATTTTTGTTCGTTGTCTTTATTAAAATTATGGAGTGGATCAATGAATCTTCGATATTATTAATTGAAGAATATGAAAAGTTGCCTATATTATGGGATGCCTATATTATAGGATGTTAATGGGATGTTCATTCTTTGTATTATTAAAAAATAATAAAAACGCATGGCAAGATCTTGTAAATAAAATTAATATTGAATATGTCGATATTAATGAAATTGCTATTCTAAAATTTGAATCTTTTGTTCGTAATTTTTGGTGTTATTAAATTTTGTAAATATTCAAAGTCGGGTCTGGTCATTCTTGTAAAGTTTCTGAACTGATCATAGCCCTCCTCAGACACTAAGTTGTTGCAGTAAATTATGTCGATTTCTAAAAATTTGGGTTTGCCACCAGCGACGATGTTTTCGATTTTTCTCCTTTTTAATAATTAAGCTGTGCATAACAATGACTGCAGCCTCGACCATTTCTCGGTCGTCCATTATTTTCGCCAACACAACTTTGCTGTTCGCGCACAAATGGATCACTTCATTCGTCGAAAAATTAGTTTTTAATTTGAACGGAGCCGAGAGCGGGAACGAATGCCGTGCGCGCACGCTCAGCTCGTGCGTGCTCAAGTCTAAACGCACCATTAGAGAGGTAAAATTAGATAAGGCCGTTAGTTTCGGCTATAGGATAAAAATAAAGTTTAGTATACCATCTTATTTTTTCAATCAACGCTGCAAGTTAGAGCACATAACACAAATAGCACTACCTATTCATAACCAAACTGCCGACTTATGAAATCATTTGTATGGGAATCTGCATACTTCAATACCTAGATATCCCAATTTCTTCAATTAACGATACCATGATAGTAGCGTCACTTGATCTATTTGCAAAATATGATTTTTTACATTGACAATATGTTGACAATAGATATAATATATTAATTTTTATATATTGATATAATGACTGTCAGAATATTCAAAACATTTACTAAAAATAGCAGCTATTGCAGTTAAAAAACAGAAAACCTAATTTCAGCGTTAAAAAAAGTTACCTAATTTTACCGTCTCTTATTAAATAAAACTCCCGATGATGGAAAATTGTTTGCGGACACTGCATAACATAATTCATATTATGATTTGAAAGTACCTAAAACAGCTCTAGGTGCGCTGGCATCGGCTTGTAACCAAAACGTAACCCAGGATGTAATTACGAGAAATATGGATGGCAAGAAGTAGTCCATGATGTAGTAACCAATTTCTCTGCGCAGTTTAAATTTGAACGTGAGAGAACTGTAGTTACCGGCTGTAACAAAAAAAAATTGTCAACATTAAATAAATACAACTGATTTTTTTTATTATTTCTTATTTATTATTTTGATTATTTTCGTAAGAATTATTTCGTAGAGGTTAAAATATTAGAATTAATCATTTAACTTCAACGCAACATGTTTTAAGCTACAGAAATTTTTCTTTAGTATCAAAATATATAAATTTAAAGACACTATGAACAAGTCTTTTGTGCTGCTGGGGTCCCTTTGCTACACTTGGTATCGCTGCTAATCGATTGTCTATGATGCATATGCTTAATTTTTAAGTAATAATTTGATTAATCATCTGCTGATGATGCTAATATGGTTTCATTACTTATTGAGCAGTTGCTTGGTACTCAAAACTAGAGCAACGTACGGCAAGGCTAAACCTGTGGAAAGTCCAGAGGCTGGCATACATTGGTATCACAGGAGCCATGAGCAGGTTGAGCAGCCATTGGACAGGTTCCAACAGCAGCAAGGGGCATTCTAGGTCTAACACCACTACACATTGTCATCGGTAGATACATATTCTTAAATTTACGCTATCGAAAGATGCATACAATTTATGTTAGATAGGAACTATCGGAAACAAGAAATAGCCATCTGTTTGGATAGTCAAGCAGCGTTGAAAGCGATCAACGCAGTTTCAATCAATTCGAAGTTAGTCAAAAAATCCATAGAGAAGCTGAACAAATTAGGCAAAGAAAAACAACCACAAGTCCTCCTACTCTGGGTGCCAGCTCACCAAGGGATAGAAGGGATAGAAAGTATACGATATAGCTAGAAAAGAAGCAAACACTCCACTAACTGGACCAGAACCGTTGTGCTTCCCAAGTGGAAACCAACTAAAAGCGGAACTCGAGAATTTGGAAGATTCCATCCATAACCTGGAATGGGAATCCTGCAACGATCTAAGACACTCGGAAACGTATTAGAAGACCAAAGAAATCAAAGATTTTCCTTGATATAAGTAAAAACAATCTACGGATCGTCACGGGGAACAGGACACTGTTGTCTTCAATGAACACCTCAGTAGATTGAAGCTAAGAAAAAACGGCGACTGCGGATTCTGTGGGGAAAATAGGGAAACACCAGTTTTGGTGTTCCCCTCATGAGGTGTTTACCTCATATCTCGCGCCGAGACTACAACCATTCGCGCCATAAACTTTGGTGCGACAGATATTGGAAATAGAGAACTACTCTTGTTAAAGCCCTGGGACTCGGATAAATTATATCTCAAGAAAGGGGGACACAATAGATCGCAACAATGTAAGATCGCGGTGATTAACCCCCCTCCCACTAATTCTACATTTTACATGCTAATATGGTTAGCAAAACCTGTGTCCAGAGTTCAATATAAAGTATTTTGGAGTAAAGTGTTTTATTTTACTCCAACATCAAATGATAAACATAACAGAATTAAATTACATTCAAAAATATAATCAAATGGTGCATAAAATATTACTTTCTACTAAACCATATTAAGACAACCTCTCTGAGCTATTAGAGAGATATGTCAAAGTTCAATACTGCCGCAATTTCGCTATTAGCGCTGACATTATTTTGACATTTGCGTTTGTCGAACTTCGAGTTATGGCAACACAAAATAGCGTTGATTGATTTTGACGATTATGCCAACATTTTTAAAAATTTAGACTTAACCTAGTTTTCTCATTTTGTCAATCAAAAGAGTATCTATATTCATAATTTTCCTTTATTTTTATAAAAAATAGCTATTAAATATATCAGGAGTTTTAATAAGTGTCTAAAATCCAAGTGCCATCTTATCCGATAGTCAAGCAGCACTTAACGCGATCAACTTAGTAACCATCAATTCGAAATTGGTCAAAGAATGCCTAGAGAAGCTCAACAAATTAGGCAAAGAAAATAAAGTCCTCCTCTCTGGGTGCCTGCGCACCAAGGTATAGAAGGCAATGAAAAAGCAAATGATCTAGCTAGGAAAGGAGGGAACACTCCACTAACTGGACCAGAACCGTTCTGTTTTCCAAACGGGTACCAACTGAAAGCGGAACTGAAGAATCTGGAAGACTTCATCCGTACCTTGGAATAGGTGTCCTCCAACGGTCTAAGACACTCGAAAAAGTTCCTCAGAACTTACGACCGAGAAAAATCAAAGGTTTTCCTTGATTTAAATAAAAACAATCTTCGGATTGTCACGGGGTTTCTAACAGGACACTGCCTCCTCAACCAACACCTCAGTAGATTAAAGCTGAGAAACAACGGCGAATGCAGATTCTGTTGGGAAAATGGGGAAACACCAGAACACCTTATCACTGACGGCGCCGAGACGACGACCATTCGTGCCATGAACTTTGGTACGGCTGATGTCGAGGATGGCGAGCTGGCCTCTGTGGAGCCGTCTCAGATACTGGCTTTTGTTAAAGCACTGAGACTGTATGATGAGTTATAACTTGTTATAACTCAAGAAAGAAGAACACACAATAGAGATCTATAAGGTCGCGGTGATTAATTCCCCTCCTAAACGTTCTACATTCTAGTCTTTAAAAGAAAGTGTGTCTAAAAAAGAGTATAATTTAACCCAATAAAGAGTTATCTCAATTTTTATAAAAAATACAGTATCTCAACTGATAAAATAACGTTCCGAAACTGTCAAATTACCGCACGGCATCTTCTCCACCTAAATACCGGCATGCGGTAACGTTAATAGCGCACAAACGCTTATTATGACACTTTAACTGTCATAGTTGCTAAAATAACGCCTCCGATAATACCGCATATCATTGCCATGTCTCTCTATTATCTACTAAACTATTGTTCCGTATTTACCTGTTTACAGTTACTATATTTATAATTAATTTGTTAAAGTCTTGAGACTGTATGATGAGTTATAACTCGTTATAACTCAAGAAAGGGGAACACACAATAGATCTGTAAGGTCGCGGTGACTAACTCCCCTACTAAACATTCTACATTTTACTATATTTTTTATATTTAAAAAATATTGTCAATTTTGGTTTGGTTTGGTTTGGTTTGTGTTAGGCACGATCGGAAAACTTATATAGATAATCAACACTAAATATTTGAATAATAATAACAAAATCAAAATCATTGGTGTGCCCAGATTACCGATGATTTAAAAATCGAAACCGTATCGGAGCTGTTTAACTGTAAAAACTATTTATAAATATTTAACACACAACATGTGAGTTACGTTTTGCGGGGATACACTTTCGGGTGGGCATGTTCCTCATAGATTGTGTATCTCAAAAATCGGAAGAGAATGAAAAGACATCACCTACCTGCTGAGCCTTGTCTAGGCTCAGAACTCCAATGAAAGAACATCGAGTTAGTAAATTATCAACTCGAGGGAAGAGGAGTCATAGTCAGCGACTCATAGTCAGGTTCTCACAATAGGAATTGATCTCAAATCCAAGGAAGCAATAGATAAAGAGGGATCGGATATATCCTCTATTATAGATTCGGTGCAACACCGGTATCAGTTAAAGAGGTGAATAAAATGGAGACAGATTCTCCAGCCCCTACCTCACGGGTACCTCAGCCGGAGAGAAGCTCCTCGACTGTAAAGGGCACGTTGGGCCAAACCTTAGCCAAGGAGCATCTGTTGTCAAAAGAGGATGGGAAATACCCTGTCCCCTCTAAAACAGGAAAATGCTCAAGTATGATGGATTATAGACTGTATGACGAGTTATAACATAACTCAAGAAAGGGAAACACAATAGATCTTTAAGGCAGTGATTAACCCCCGCCCTCACAATCTTTATACATTCTATAAATATTTTAAAGGTGTTTAGCTTCCACTTCATTATTTTTTTCCTGTAAAATAAACCGAGTGGTTAAGGTATTCATTTTTAGATCCGCGAAAATCTCTTTACTATTAAATCTGAGAAACCAGACTGGGAAACTGTCTTGGTTCCAAAATACGTCAGTCATTAGAATATAATCTCTTCCGTTTTCTAAATGAATTTAAGGAAATTCCCCGTATGTTTACAATAATGTATTTCAACCGAGTTGCTATAATTTGAAATTCAAGTTTTTATTTTTAGACTTCGATTCTAAAAATATAACAAAAATAATTTCCAATATTTTAATAGTTAAATAAAATCTGATGATATTGTATTACAATATTTATTCATAATTAATGATAATCAACATATGTATATTTATTTTATACTAATTATGCCTTCTTGTTCCCGATACTTTATTGAAATAGAATTTCCGGATTTCAATTACTTATTTGCCTGCAAAAATTTTATGATTAATTATGGAGTATATTGGATTAAATTAGCAAATGTTATCGTCAACTGAATTCCCAGAGCATCTATATTTACAACTCTGCTTTCAAAACAATTAAAACTGACGTCAAATTGTGTTTCATTATTACAGATTGTTAACATAGAAACGAAATAACCTTAATAAATACTGTCAATAGATTTTAAGCGTCAAAATAAACACCAAGATGTCAGAAGGTGACAAATATATACAAGTAAACGATATTTACCTAAATTATGATAATTAAGATTAAGGTGTAGATTTAAAAATGAATGGTAGCAGCG